ACATGTGGAAGAATGCCTCATGGGTTCTTCATCACGACAACGCGCCAGCACACAACGCGCTATCTGTGAAGAGGTATTTGGCAAAAAACAACATTCCAGTGATGGAACATGCACCGTATTCTCCGGACCTAGCACCGTGTGACTTTTTTCTCTTCCCGAAAATCAAGTCTGTGCTGAAAGGGACCAGGTTCGAGTCCATGGATGCAGTGAAAGCAAAAGCGATGCAACTCTTGAAGAGCATAACACAAGATGACCTGCAGCACTGCTTCCAACAATGGAAAATTCGCATGGAGCGGTGTAGGGATCAGGAAGGGGACTATATTGAAGGGGATAACATTTCGATTGTCTGATTTTTTTTCAATAAAGCGTTAGAGCATGAATCCGGTGTCTTTATTGCCGCACCTTGTATTCAACTTTGTGCGTCTGGCTCTTTGCATAAAATGACAATGTTCAGTAGATTTCAAAGAGATTATTCTAAAATGTGTGTAGAGAATTGGTTTTTGTTGTGCATGGCTTGCTTATTTTAGTACTGAGCACTGATAGATTCTTCTCTCAAGAATCTAGCCAGAGTTAACCTTCTGTTGCCAGTAAGCTTTGTTTTTACAGTATATCCTGCCACTGAATTCTCAGAATCTATGAAGATTCCAGGACTGTCATGTATCTGTTTTGTAACTTTAATACAGTCCCTAACCATTAGGGACAGTTGTCATTACTGTCAAGGATCTGCCTCTGAGTCCATCAGAAACATCCCTGAGGGGGCAAGATACTTCAGCTGGTCAGTCATATGAAAGAAAACTGCTGTGTGCTCAACAAGATTCCAGTTTGATTCCTTTCACAAGTAGAGAGTACTCACTCATGGGGCTGAGCCCTTCTTGAGGAGCTGCCAATTGTGGAGCTACTCAAGAACTTACCAGCATTTTATGGAACCTGAAGGTTCATTACTGTGTTCAGAAGGGCTCTCCACTGGTCCCTATCCTGAGCCAGATAAATCCAATCCGTACCATTCAATTCTATCTCTCTAAGTCTCTAATCAGATGTTGATCATTGTGACTCCTCTTTTGCATGTCAGTTGAAAGCACAAGATATATTATCTAACAGAATTATAATCTGTTTATAATTTTACAGCAGAATGCTAATGAGATGAAAGTAGAAAAGTATGATCTTCAGAGGGAAGGAGACTTAATTGACGTGAAAACTGATGGTCCTTGTATTGCATCAGCATTTTCTGTAAATGAGATTAACCTGGAGGTGAGCTTAGTTTAATGTTTTTATGGTTCTTATACTTATTTGTATCAATGTTTATTTATAGTACAAGTAATTCTTTATGTGACATCTTATTCAGAAAATGATATCAGTTATTGAATTTTTGGTATATGGGACATTTAATTAACAGTTGTGGCACAGGACCAGGTTGTGTTGTCATTTAAAATTACAAGATGCTGGGTGTCAGAAGGTATTTATTACAGTTTTATATTATGGGTTGCTGGGATGTGGTCATGCTCAAATATTACAGACAAATGAGTTTAAGAAAGTGGATCTGTTTGCATCTAGTAAGAAGGTTGGTAGGCACCTTAAAACTTGAGTTCAGTAGGAAGAGACGATCTGAGTGACTGGGAAACCTGAGTTTTTAGGTTGTAGGTAAATATAAGATTAAGTGACTGTGCTTATTGGCTGCACCATCTAAGGTATGAACTGTGTTTGCTTGCTTGAATGCTGGGATTGTGGGTTTGAATCCCACTGAAGGCATGGATGTCTTTCTGTGTTTATTCTGTATTTGTGTAGGAAGCAGCCCTGCGACAGGCTGATCCCTTGGCCAAGGAGTCCTATTGACTGTCGTAGGAGAAAGAAACCAAAGTGAAATGTAGTGTTTCATGGATGTCCTGCACTCTAAAGTAGGAGCAATGAGAGAGAGAGATAGAGTGATTGTTTTATTGTTAGAGTATGTAATCTATGTTGTGTACTTTGTGTGATTACAATCATATGAATCTGGGATGTACCCACAATTTTGCATTAGTATTTTGTGTGGTATTCAGAGTGTCCGATATGTGTCAAGCTTGTATCCAGGAGATAATCTTGCACACCTTTGACCTTGCAATGATATACTGTTGTATAATTTCATGACCCTTCAGGGTGAATGAAAAACGGCATGTTAACATGATTGCTGCTGCTTGACAGGCACCCAGTTGTCACTGCAGGTGCCATTGATATACATGTGTGTTGCTAAAGTAACAGTGGCCTTTTCTCTGTGAACTGTTTGACATGTATTTGGGGTTTCTCTTGTTGCAGCAGCACTCAGATTTAGGTTCAAGATATTTGTACCTTGGTTATGTTGTGGTCCCAGTGCTTTTCTGATTATTGAAATCATCTGAAGCAATGGTAGGAATTCATGTAATTCAATTTATGATCCTTCTCAGATATAATCCTGAAGATGCGTTGAAGGAAAAACAATCTATTAGAAACTAAAGCAAGAAGACTGACAGTGAATTCAGTTTTCTCCATGCCATTGAAAAGAAACGCCTGATCTATGGAAAATGTGATTGTCCTGCAACTACGAATATGAAAGAATTTGATTTTTGTATTGTGTCTTGAATTGCTGGCCATAAGGAGCCAGTAGATTTTATTTTACTGTGTTTGCCAGTGACGAGTTCTGCGGACTGACTGTAAGAGAGATTAACAGTTATGCCATAGAAGTAGTTCTGTCTGGAGTTGGGCCCTGAACCTGATAAATTTGCCGAACAGGCTGTGTTCATGTATTTTAGTGTTATTGTGGGGTGGTGCTCATAAATTTCATGGTTCAGTATCCCATGTTTCTTGAATTTTGTTTCAGCACATGCCTGTTGTCACATATTTCACCTCTTGGAGCTTTATAAAAGACAAAGAAAAAAAAANTATTTTTTTATTTATTTATTTATTTTTTTTTTTTTTTACAATTTTACAGCAGAATATAGATGAGATCAAAATAGAAGACAGTGTGGATATTCTGAACAAAGAAGATTCCATTCACATAAAAAGTGACAATATTTATACACCACCAACATATTCTGTAGACGAGAATGAACTTCAGGTGAGCCTAGGCTTTATGATATTTTTATCACACTGGTTCCTGAATGTGGCTGTGTTTCTTTTCAATACTCGTGATTTTAAATGTGACTTGGAATTCAGAGAATGCTCACAATTGTTTAATTTGTATGAACAGACTATTATGTCTGTGAGATGGTTATAAGGAAGCAAAATTGCTGTTAGTTCGTGATGTACCTCAACAGCACCATGTCCAGGCCTTTCATCCAGGATAACACAGAAATTCTTCCTCACACCAGTAAATAAATCAGGCCTCCAATTACTTGTAAATATAGATTGAACATTAAAACATGTCACAGGATCAGAGCCAGTTGTATAGTTGCAATAAAAGTGAATAAGTCATTTGAAAGTGTGTCATATTTTGTATGAGAATTGCACTCATCAAGAAATTTGAACTGTAGTAGTAATTGCATTGAGCGCTTTCTTCTACTTTTCATTTAACCTCTCAGGACCAAAGTATATATTCTCGACTGTGTCTATTATGTCCACTGGGCCGATCCCCCATGAACTCCCTTTAAATATGTTATTTTATTTTGTCCACAGAAACATTGAAAACTTCTAGTTAAAGTTCCTGGAACATTTGAATTGTTGCGCCTGTTGAAAGAATGTAAATTACACTGGTAATATACTTCTGTCCAGGCAAAATAGAACGAATAGCAAGTAAAATCATGAGATTCAAAATAGTGACAAAAAATCATGCCTGGAGGATGTGTCGGTGCTTGAGAATTGATTGTTTTGGGAAGAACATAGATTGACAAAGTTCGAGAACTAAGTGCTTAGGAGAATATTTGATGTAGGAAAAAATGACAGGGTGTTGGAGACGTTTGCATAAGGAGCTTCATAATTTGCAGTTCTCTTTATATGGGGTGGCCATGGAGGAAAGGTCAGTATTGTGGTATTGTGGAAGGTCATAGTATCGGTCAACCTAAGCAAAGAGTGTGTATATACAAGTATACAAGGTGTTATCGGAAGGTTCCCGGAGTTCTATTATAACTGCTTTGGTGAAAGAAGATGAGAGGGCAGTCCATGGTCACACATCCGTAATCCAATTGCATCAGTCAGCCATGTGACACCACACTTTTGAACATGCATTGTTTTACACGAGTGTTTTTTCAACTTTGTTTCATCTTGTGTGTGATGGATGGCAAAGTAGAGCAATGTGTCTGCATAAAGTTTTGTGTGAAGCTTGGTAAATCCAGTACCAATACCCTTGGAATGCTTCGTGAGGCTTTTGGAGAACATTCTTTAAGCTTGACAGTGGTTTTTGAATGGCATTCGTGTTTCAATAGGAGTACGATGAGACAGTACATCAGCTATTCATAGACTTCAAAAAAGCCTATGATTCAGTTAGGGAAGTATTGTACAATATTCTAATAGAGTTTGGAATATCCATGAGACTAGTTATGTTGATTAAAATGTGTTTAAATGAAACATATAGTGAAGTCCGTGTAGGTAATCATTTGTCTGATAAATTTCCTATTCAGAATGGTCTAAGACAAGGAGATGCTTTATCGCCATTCCTTTTCAACTTTGCCTTAGAATATGCAATTAGGAAGGTATAGGGCCATGTGGGGCTGAAATTAAACGGGACACATCAGCTGTTGGTCTACGCTGATGATGTGAATCTTCTGGGTGATAATGTAGATACCATAAAGAAAAACACAAACTTTAATTGACGCAAGTAAAGAGGTTGGTCTAGAACTAAACACAGAGAAAACTAAGTATATGTTACTGTCTCATCACCAAAATGCAGGGCTAAATCATGACATAAAGATAGGAAATAGATGTAAGTTTTGAGGTTTTCACGGCGATGACTATGAAGGAAGTTGTCTTCTGGGTTTAGGCACCGTGTATTCTTCGTTTTGGCCAAAATGAAGAATACATGGCGCCTAAACCCAGAAGACGATTTTCTTCATAGGAAATAGATGTTTTGAAAATGTGGCACAGTTCAGATATTTGGGAACAACGATAACAGATCGAAACCTGATTCAGGAGGAAATTAAGAGGCGATTGAACTTGGGTAATGCTTGCTATCATTCAGTCCAGAACCTTTTGTCTTCTTGCCTGTTGTCCAAAAACATAAAAATTAGAATATACAGAACTATAATTTTGCCTGTGGTTCTGTATGGGTGTGAAACTTGGTCTCCGACACTAAGGGAGGAACATAGACTGAGGGTGTTTGAGAACAGGGTGTTGAGAATATTTGGACCAAAGAGGGATGAAGTGACAGGAGGTTGGAGAAAACTGCATAATGAGGAGCTTCATAACTTGTACTCTTCTCCAAGTATAATTAGAATGATCAAGTCAAGGAGGATGAGGTGGGCAGGTCATGTAGCACGAATGGGGGAGACGAATGCATATAGGATATTGGTGGGAAAGCCAGAAGGAAAGAGACCACAGGGAAGACCAAGGCGTAGGTGAGTGGACAATATTAGAATGGGTCTTAAGAGGGATAGGATGGGATGGTATGGATTGGATAGATCTGGCTCAGGATAGGGACCAGTGGAGGACTCTTGTGAACACAGTAATGAACCTTCAGGTTCCATAAAATGCTGGAAAATTCTTGAGTAGCTGCAGAATTGGTGGCTCCAACAGAAGGGCTCAGCTCCATGAGTAAGTTAGTAAGTAATTCATGTTTGAAGGCTGGTCGAGCGTTAGTTGAAGATCACAAACGTTGAGGGCGACCAGAAAGAAAATGTTGAAAAATTTCGAGAAATCATCGATGAAGACAATCTCCAAAGAATCTGTGATGTTGTAGACACCGTTGGGATCAGTTATGGAGTTTGCCAGGAGATAGTAACAAAAAATTTGAACTGACAGTCATTTTTTCCGTTTACAAGGATTCGAGCTTATACAAAATAGATACATGTTTTCAAGTTTTACTGTCCTTCAGTGTAGTCACCAGCATTGCGTACAACCCATTGCCAGCGATGTGGAAGTCGTAGGATACCTTTAGCAGCACCTGTTGTGTGAATAGTTCAAATGGAGCGGTCTACTGCCTGAAGAATCTCTGGAACAGTTCTGAAGCGAATGCAATGAAGTGGTTCCTTCATCTTAGGAATCAAGTCGAAGTCACAAGAGCTTAATTCCGGGGAGTATGGTGGATGGTACAGTACTTCTCAGCCCCATCGTTCAAACAAATCAGCCATAGCTTGCGCTGCATGAGGCTGAGCATTGTCCTGCAAAATGATGGGTGGGTTCTGCAGAAAGTGTCGCTGCTTCTTTGTCAAAGCTGATCGTAGGTTGTGTTCCAAAAATGAACAGTAATACTGCACATTGATGGTCTGCTGTCGGGCAACGGCATGCATTAGGATAACATCACAGTCGTACACGAGAATCGCCATAACTTTCACTTTCCTGGGGTTCTGATGAACTTCTGATTTTTGTGGTGACCTGTAATGACACCATTTGTACGATTGGCGTTTCATTTGCAGCTTGTACGATTTGGCCGATGTCTCATCCGGCATAATGATATGGCATAAGAAAGCCTCTCCTTCACGCTCAAAGTGCTCCAAGTGTTTACAAGCAGCGTTGTATCATAGCCATTTCTGCATTTCCGTCAAATTATGCGGAACCCATCGTGATGCAATTTTTCTTATGCCCAGGCATTCTTTCAGAATGTGAAGCACAGTCATATGCGCTCGTATGGCCAGCTCACAAATCATATGGCGTCAATCACCCTCCAGTAATGCGGAAAGATCATACACTTCTTCACTGACACTAGGACAACCTGGCCGACGCATGTCTGCCACATTTTGGCATCCCTCATTGAAGGCTTTTACCGACCTTGCCACTGTTCTATAAGGCAATGCAGATTCCCTGCAAGCCTCTTGAAGACCTTGATGGCACTGTCATGCTGTATGGCCTCTGGCACATTCAATCTTTATCCATATCTGTTCCTCTTTCGAAAACATCGTCACAACACTACGTTAGACCGCCAGCTAACATGAAGCTCTGTTCTTCTCGTCACTGCGCATGCATGTGATGTGGGAAGGGAGAGTCCATTTGCTCTGAGGTAAGGTAGGTATGTAACTAACATGTGGTATAAACGACATTATTTGGTTCCGTTGCATGGTGTCTCTACAGCAGTGTTGCCACTATTGAAGTTCCAACCCTCATATAATGCGACAGTTTTAAATTAACAACATTAATTCACACTTAATTCACTAAATGTTTGTTAAGTATTTAAAATGCCATTAAACTTATTAAAATATATGTACATTTGATGTTTATGCTACATGTTTCAGCCGCACAGGCCCATCTTCAGGCAATATATTTTTTAAAGGAGTCTACTGCACTTGGTCAAATAGTATTCATTAAGGCCTGATATTGTTATTGTTAACTTTTTTTTGTATTCTGATATTGTTGGATGATTTTATAGGATATAAACCGTACTTCTCTCACTGAAAATTATTTAAATGTTGTTATGACCTGTTAATGCATTGTTTTCACACCCTGAGAGGCGCTCCTATGGCGAGGTACTATCCGGTGACTGTCTAATTGTAATTCAGCATAGTCTTCCTTAGGCTTATTGTGCCACTGTTGTCATTAGCGTTGGCAGTTTGCTCCTAGTGTTATCTTCTGTTGAGAAAGGCAGGGATTTTGAGTGATAAATCCATGATTTGGCATTGTGCAAGATATGCCCAAGGGGGTCTTGAGTTGCCTGCCTGTGTGCCTTGAAGACCTGAGAAGGTTCAAGATAGACATCTCAGAAAACAGCTGCGGGCCTGGCGCCTGGCCTGACCTGACCTTTGGCTCTCTTGTTTTCCATTAATGGCCACTTGGGGACTTGTGGTTTGGAGCTAGTCGAGAGGATGAGTGAAAAGAGGCAGTCGGTTATAGGGAGAGGATTGAGTTTGAGTGTAGACAGAGAACAGAGAATTCAGTTAACATGAGGGTAGCGAGTAGCGTATATGGCTAGTGTGCTGGGAGCGAATTGGTGTGAATAGAAGTAATGATGACAGTGGGAGTGATCGCTGAGAGGCAAGCTTGAAGGAGGACTAATGTAAAGATTGACAGTCACTGTACGCAGTTTTAACTTAAAGCTGTAATACACGGTGTTGGTTCTGGATACCCCATAATTAGTAAACCCCAATGTGTGTTCCCCCCCCCAGTATGCAAAGCCCCAGACTCCCCAGGACAAAGGTCTCATTTCAAGTGATAGTTATGGCATCTGTAGGTCGGCAGTTGGCTGCAAGGACGATTTTCTTCCTATCTTATATATTGTGGCTGTTTTCGTGTTGAAGAAGTTAATAATAGACCATGTGCCTTAATGAATACTATTGAGCAAATACATAGTGCAGTAGACTCCTTCAAAAGATGTATTGCATGAAGATGGCCCTATGTGGCTGAAGCATGTACACCAAGTGCCCATTTTGTAACATGGATGGCGCAACAGGAAGGAGGGGTCTCGTGAGCTCTGCATTTCCACGAGTGATGTCACGTACCCCCACTCCTCCCATTATTACGCAACACTTGGTAAACACCCCACCCCGCTAGGCTGTGGCATCATGCAACAGGCAGGTCCATGCAGCAAATATTGCTAGGCAATGCGTAGGTAGACACCTGACAACAGTACCTGATATCTGTTGCCAAGCTGCAATGTGTTCTCTATGTTGTTCATGCTGAGCCAAAATAAGGAGCAGCGAACACTATTCAGGAGCGAGTATTGAGTTACAAGCCGAGTTGTATCAAGTGAATGGCAGTGACTCCAGCAGGAGAAGTAATTGTGATGCTGCAGCTTGCAGTAATTGTGGAATTGTAAATTGTGTAAGTGTAAGAGCGAATGTGGAATAAATTCGCTAGATCCAAGGTGGCGTGAAATTATTTGTTACATCATGTACCCAACACATGACAATATATTTTAATAAATTTACTGACATTTTAAACATTTAACAAACAATTGGCAAATTAAGTATGAATTAATGTTGGTAAATTAATATTGTTGCATTATAGAGAGAAGAAAAGAATATAAGTTATACCTCAATGCAGAAGGATGCTGAAATATAATATTAGAAAATTTGAACATGCGCTGCATTGCTGCTTTATCACAGCAACACTCACACCCACACATTCCTGAAACCCACAGAGTTTATGACTAACAAAAACATGGTTATCATTCCCAGTCCTCCATACTTGCTGCACTTAGCCCCCTGTGATTTCGCCTTGATTCACAAATTGAAAATGAAACTGAAGGGATGATGTTTTGAAACAATGTCTGACATCCAAGGGAATTGCAAGTTTCATGTGACAACATTAAGAAAGGTAACTTCCATGGTGCTATTGAAGAATGGAAAAAATGATAGGATTGGTGTATATGTTCCCAATGAAACTATTTTGAAGGAGATGGCAGCCAGAATTTAGTAAGTTAAGGCAGTATTTCTTTTTTGACGTAGCCTGGTAACTTTCTGTTAGCACGTCATACATACCTCATATTCCGAATAGGCTCCAAGAGAGAGCTATTTCACTGTACAATAGTACAGTAGTATGTCAAAATGCCCTCACATGAGTTGCAAAGTGCATTGATGTTGACAGTGCAATTTTCAAGAAGGTATTATACTAGGTAAACTGTACCAACTTTTTTGCTTGAACAATAAATACAGGTATTAGAAACAGTACATAATACCTCTTTCTTGTCAACAATTTTGGGACTGTACAGTGAAATAGCTGTATCTCAGAAATTGTTCAGAATAGGACACACATATATATACACTTTTTTTGCTTACAATGACCGATGCTGTGACCTCCCAGAATATTGACCTTTCCCCCTGGGACACACTATAGCTTAAAAGGCTAATCAAATGTTGGTGGGGGGGGGGTTGTGGATATGAATGTAATATACGTGTGAGCTGTGAAGTAAGTTGAAAATGTGGATTGAAGAGAGAAATTTTGCAAACCTGAACATAGATGGCAGTGTAGTACTGAAATTTATCTGAAAGCAATAGAATGGCAACGAGGACTGGATTCATACATCTAAGGAAGGGGATCGTTGGGAGGCTTTTGTGAACACAATGAATGCTTAGCTTCCATGGAAGACAGCGATTTCTTTCACAGGGAACATGACTGATGGCTTTTGGAGAAGGACTTCAGTGCTAGCAGTGTGATGCTACTAATTTTCATGTAGCAAAATATGATTTCCTGAAAATTAAAATCTTGAACAGTTTCAAGCTGCGTAATGTCTTTCTACTAATGAACACCATATATGAAAGTGGAGAGTGGCCCAAGGACTTTACAGAAGTTACAATGATTGCCGTAAAGAAAAAGACAAAAGCTACAAAATGCAGCGACCATCGCACAATAAGTCTTATTGCACATACAGCAAAGATACTAGCAAAGATACTTAAAAGAAGAATTGAAAGGAAAATAGAGGATGTACTTGGAGAAGATCAGTTTGGATTTAGAAGAGGAAAAGGAACCAGGGATGCAATTGGGATGATGAGAATTATAGCGGAACGAACTTTGGAGATAGATGAAGAACTGTGTGTTTGCTTCATAGACTGGCAGAAGGCATTTGACCGGGTAAACTGGACCAAATTAATG